GTGCCTCTCTCTCTCTCTCTCTCTCTCTCTCTCTCTCTCTCTCTCTCTCTCTCTCTCTCGTATTTAGTACAGGGTCCACAGCGTCTCACTAGATAGATTAGACTCATAGTGATCCTCCTGTGTACAGCCTCCCAAGTGCTGGGATTACAGGTGGGCACCACTGTGCCCAGTCTCAATTGCTGGCTCAGTGTGCCCTGGGTGCGGGGCCAGCACGACAGCCCTGGGGCTCGAACCCTCGGCCCCTAAGTCTGAATAAACAGGTGCTTCAATCCACTGAGCTATTTGACTGGCCCAAAAGTGCATCTCATTGTACATAAACATTGGTCCAGGAAATGTTCCAAAGGACTTTGGACTGTTGAAGATGGATTTCTCACCAATTTTCTCTAATAGCTAATAGCAATTCCTTACCATTCACACCTTCTTTCTAGGCCTGAGTTTCTTTCTGTCTACACTGGAAGAGATTTTTCTTAGCTCATGCGCAACATCCCTTTCAGTTGCTTCCCCGTAGTGAGTGCTAGGCTGTGTGCCTTCTAAATCTGGTTGAAACTGATATGGTTTTATTGCACAGCCCTGACTTTCCCTTCCTCAACTCTAGGCACCTTATTCATCATCTCCACCTTCTTTACTGAATCACTCAGTTTTGAAATAATTTGATTCTCAAGGCTGGAGCCAGTATGTCCTTCCAGCACTCTCTTGACTGGCAGATACCTAAGAAGTGGAGCACGTGATGCTTTGATGATGCTTCTTGAGGAGCAGGAGTACGTTCAGTGGGGCTGGGGAGACAATTTGGTGGTCTAAGTGCCTGCCTGGCAAGTGAAAGGACCCAGGTTCAATCCCTGGTGCTGCAGGCTGTGCCGGCCCTGGAACCCTGGAGCGCTGTGTGGGCCACCGAAACTGGACATGGTGGTGCATGCCTGTAATGCCAGGGCTGGGAAGGCTGAGACAGGAGGATTACCACAAGTCTGAGCTGCATAGGGAGACCCTGTACCACATATATAAATAAAAGATTTCTTTTTAAACAGGAGTGTGTGCAGTGTCTGAGCCTGGCACTCAGTGGAGCTTAGCTCCTGCTCCACAACCCTTTTGTATTTTTTATTTTTGACTTTTAGACAGGGTTTCATTCTTCTTGACTCAGCCTTCCACAGTGCTGAGATTATAGGCATGGGCCATGACACCTGATTTTATTTTTTGACAGTGTCTCAATAAGTTGCCTGGTGAAATTTAGTGTGACTGAGCGTGCCTTGGGTTTCTTTTCTAAAGACACCAATATCAGTCATGAGGGTGGAATCCATGTGCCCCACATCTTCATAGCATTACGCAGAATACAAACATACATATTTGGGGGTGGGAGATGCAAACATTAAGGCCATAGGGGCTGTCTGGGGCTGGTGCAGGCTGTGGCTGAGGGCCTAGCTAGCAGCTGGCACACTTGACCCTGAGCCTCCTTATGGAGTGGTGGCTGGGTTCTCCAGGAGCATGTCCTGAGATTGCTGGGGCTCCAGGCAGAAGATGAACCCTTGCTATGACCTGGTTTTGGAGGACTCAAAGCATTAATTCCAGCTGATCTTACTGTGATAAGTGAGTCACAGTCCGGCCCATATTTGAGGGCAGGTGAATTTAAATTCCACCAAAGCGGGAGGTGTCAGAATTTACAGGAAATAGGATAAAGCCCCCACGTTATGTAAGGGCCTCATTCCTTCTGGTGTATTTGAGTAGAACCTTGGGTTTGGAGTCTGAAGATAGATTTCAAGGCCCATTTTTGTCTTTTCATAGCATGGGTAAATCACTTAATCTCTCTAATACCATCTTCTCTTTTGTGCAGTAGAGGGAGATAGCAGTGTGCTCCAGAAGATTAATAAGGGTCAAAAGAGGGTCATAGATGCACATGTATTTTGCTAACTATAAACAAATTGTGTTATTCTTTCTTCTTCTGATTTTACTGTATGCTTCTTTGGATTGACAGTGAAGAAAGACATTAAAATGAAAAAGTGACAAATTTAGTATCTGACTTGAAATTACAAGATCAAGTTATAAGAAAAAATAAGCATGACCATAGTCATTCAATTCCACATAAATGAAAATATTTCTAAAATAGATCACAAATACATGTATTGTAGGAAATTTCTTTCTTTCTTTCTTTTTTCTTTTCTTTTTTATATTTTTAGGGAAGAGTCTATAGGGTGTTCAGGGTCTCACTACTGGATCAGACTGATTCTCTTGTTTACAGCCTCCCAAGTGCTGGGATTACGGGTGCATGCCACCATGCCCAGTCTCACTCAGCATGCCCTGGGGGGTGGGGCGGCGCTGGCACACCAGGCCCCAGGGAACAAACCCCTGGCCCCTGTGCCTACTTGCAGGCACTGTAATCTGTTGAGCTATTTGGAAATTTCTGTTATTAATAAAATTTACTTTTTTTTTCTTTTTGAGACAGGTCAGTCTGAATTATATAGCAAGATCCTGTCTCAAACTGGTCACAATCCTCCTGTTTCAGCCTCCCAAGTGATGAGATTACAGTCATGTGCCACCATATCCAGACTGAAATTTATTAAAATTTACTGCATACTATTATTACTAAAAATTATTCCAAATTCTTGCAAAAAAAATTTCTTTCCTTCTTTTTTTTTTGCAGAACCAGGGATTGAACTCAAGCCCTTGAGTTTGCCAGGCAAGTGCTTATTCTACTGAGCCATCTCCTTGGCCCAAGTTGCAGTAGTCTTTTTTTTTTTGGCAGAACCGGGGAGCTAGGGAAGTGCTTATTCCACTGAGACATCTCCCCAGCCCCGCAAAAAAATTTCTAATTAAATCTATAGAAGATTACCAAATTATATATGTTGGAGAAGAAATAGAATGTTACACACCAAAAATATGTAGTCATTCCATGAAAGGGATAAAAGACAGGGGGAAAAGGGACTTTCATTTAAAAAAAAACATTACTGGAGCTAGGGGTACAGCTCAGTGGCATAGCGTCTGCCTGGCCAGCGCAAGTTTCTGAGTTCCATTCCAGGTACCAAAAAGCAAAATAAAATAATTCAACAAAATGCTGAATTTCAGTATTGTTTGAGCTGTATATTTAAGATTAATAAATATAAGTAACAGCTTGCTTTTCCCCCCTCTCTTCCTGCCTTCCTTCCTAACATCATCCTTTGTACTGGGAATTGAAGCTGGAGCCTTAGCACTAAGTTACATCCCCAGGCAGAGTTTTGCTAAGTCACTAAATGGCCCTGGCTGGTCTTTAGTGTGTGATCCTCCTGCCTTGTCCTGAACCAGTGGGTCAGTCAACGAAGGTCACCTGGGAGAAGAGTGGGGAATTGAGGAGGGGACAAAGGACAGGAGACGCGAGAAATGGAGACAAGACAGGATTCTGATCAAGTCTCAGTTTATTCAGGGGAGGTGCTGGGTATATTTAGGGAGTGATGGAATGAGGAAGTCTCAGCTCTTGGGGTCAGCAGGTATCTAGACAATGGGGAAGGTGCAACCACTGGGGTATAGCATGTCACGGGGAATGGGCAAGGTGAGAAGGACCATAAACTTAACTCAGCAGGGGAATAGAAACTTAAGAAAATGGCTGACACTATTATAAAATGGATACCAGTTAATGGCCTCCCACACTGCCTCAGCCTCCTGGGTGCTGGGATTATAGGTATGAACCACCATGTGTGGCTGAAAATACTTTTTAAAAGAAGAGACCCCTGCAGCATACAGTGTGGGCTGGGGAGAGGGCAGAGGTGGGGTTGTTTCAATAATCAGCTCTTTACTATTAATTTATACAAAGGATTCCATGTAGCAGCTAGACTCCCTCAGTCGCAGGGAGTAGGATAAGCAGTCAGACTTGGCTAGATGGGGTTGAAACAAGGACCTTTAAAGGTCCAGGTGTGTGGTCACAGGAAAACTAGGCTGGGCTGGAGTTGAGCAAGATCCCTTTTGGGGAATGTTAAGGATGGGCTCCAGGGAGCTAAGTAGAAACTGAGGCCAAAGCTGTAGGAGTTGCCACTGTTGTTCCACTAACACACAGACAATGCTGTGATCATTTGTTGTTTTCTCTAAGCCGCTGACTTCATCCTGTAGTACTTTTGCAAAACTGTAGATGGCTTTAATAAGACAGATGACAAATTGTTTTCTATCTGTGGATTTTGCTTTGTGTCAAGCCTTGCTTGGTTTTGCCTACTTTTATTCTGAGAGCAGAAAGGAGATTGGAATTCTGAAAAGTTGTGTTAGCCAAATCCCGTGAACAAAGGAGGCCTTGTTCAGGGTTATGACTCCAGCTGTGGGAGGAGCTTACTTCATCAGCTCAGATCTCTGCTTTTCAAGTTCTTGCTCTCGTTAGCACTGTTTCTCCATATCACGAATTGGGACTGTCACACAGGAGAGGCACAGCTAGTCCCATGTGCAGGGCCTGGACTTGCTCTCATTACACCAATGAGTTCAGCGTTGGGGCAGGCAGTAAGTCCAGGCATTAGTGGACTTAAATAAAACACCTTCAACAAAAAGAACGTCAGGCAGGTCTTTCCCCCTGGTGCTTGGCTTATTAATGACTGCATAGACACTGTTCATTTCCAATATTTTCAAGAATCAGCCCCTCCTCAGTCCACAGAATGCCACCAACACAAGATCCGAAATTGGGAGTAACAGCCTCCCCACTTGAGAATGAAGTTTCCTGAAATGTAACCATCTCTTTGCTTGGGGCCCAGGTGGGATGGGGTGAGCCCTGCAGCCCATGCACAAACCGCTTGTTTGACCCTTGTCCCTTGATGTCCATGTGTTTTCCCACAAGACAGCAGAAACCTTGATCCTTGCCAGTGCTGTTGGAAAAGTTATTGGCTTGGTTTGCTAAATGGCGTGGGAGCTTCAGGAAGCCATGGGAGCTTCGCCCTCCGTATGCGAGGTGGGAAGCTGTGTGTGTTGTCTCACTGTGCCAGGCGCTGGATGGATGGTGCGGTGCCGCCGTGCACGCATGTGACTGCCGCCTCCTTCATGTCTGCCTCTTTCTGTTTCCCTGACAGGGCAATTTGGTTTTGATGCTGTGCCAGAAATCTTCAGACAATGAGCTACTGGAACTCGGAGAAAAGGAACTGTGTGCAGTACCGCAGGCATTTTCTGGTGGACAACGGTGTTTTTCATGGTGAGCTTTCTCTTGAGCTTGTGTGGTTGACTCTTGCATTTTGTCTCTGACAGCGCTTTTATTCTGCATCCTAGATGCAAACACAGTGTAATTGTTGCTCCGAACCAAGAGCTTCAGGTAACTTGTTTGTGGTTAGTTACCCAAAAGAACTCCCTTGCACGCGTTGTTGGCAACGTGTCCCACCTCAATACCAATAATGGAATTTTTAAAAGTGTTCTCCTTCCTCTTACTGCACTGTGGACTCCAGTAATTTTTCTTTCTGATGTTGGCAATTATTTTGAACAAGGCCCATAGTAAATGTTCAGTTAGTACTTGTGGGTCACCAAACAGTGCTTGTTACCAGCATAGTGCATGCCTTCCAAATGCAAATGTTGAAGTAGGCTGTTTTAGGCACTCATTAAAAAGAAATCCCTCCCCTTCTTTTGCTTTTTTTTTTTGTGGCTTTAAGACTTATCTTTGTGTCAGGCCACAAAAAAACCACAGTAAAAGAGTTTACAGCATTTAGTGTGAGGATGGATTAGTGCAGCCATGCCTCAGAATAATCAATATTCATCATTCTAATGGCAAAGGAGGATGAATTGCCCTCACCCTGCTGACATCTGTTTGTACTGTGGCAATGCAGTCAGGATAAACTCTGTCAATCCAGTTATCAAGATATTTGTGAGTGACATTTAATTACGAGTAAAAGATTTATGTGGCACCAGAATTTGTGATAGTCTCTGGTGGAATCCTAGAGAGAAGCAAGTTTTTGTAGAATATGGAGTTCTGTGACAGAACTGTTGTGAGTGAAGGTGGTCTTTCTAGAGTTGGTCTTTCTTTCCCAGTTTGGTGGCTTTGGATTATGTTTAAGATAACAAACACAACTTTATTTTATTTATTTGTTTATTTATTTACTTATTGCATTTTTGGGAAGGTCTACAGGGTGTTCAGGGTCTCACTACTAGATTGGACTTGTAGTGATCTGCCTGTTTACAGCCTCCCAAGAGCTGGGATTACAGGCAAGCGTCACCACCCCCAGTCTCAATTGTCATCTCAATGTGCCCCTGGGGGTGGGCCGGCATAGCAGGTCCAGAGATTGAACCCCTGGCTCCTGCACCTGCTTGCAGGTGCTTTAATCTGCTGAGCTATTTGGTCAGCCCTTCAAACAGAACTTTAGAGTTTACCATGTTTTCCTTTGCAACATTTATTATGCCACCTTGTTACATTGCAAGGGGAAGAAAAGGAGGCAGAGAGGAAATGACAGCTGAGGTTGGTACAGGTGATTTGCAAGGTCAAAATAAAAACCACTGCCCGCACTCTGCCAGGCAGGCTCTCTGGCTGCTGCTGCAGACGGTGCTCTGAGCAGGGCGATGTGGGAACTGGCACTTAGACATTTGGAGTGAGGTTGTGCTTGGATTGTTTTGAATCTAGTGCCAAGGGCTTGTGCATTGCTTTATGTTTTTCATACCCAGTGCTCACTGAAAGATATTTTCTGTTAGGATTTTATTTATTTGTGTATTTTAGGAAATTCAGTCCCATTATGTTGCTCAAGGAGGCTTCAAGCTCCTGGGCTTAAGTAATCCTTCTGTTTCATTCTCTGAAGGAGCTAGGACTATAGATGCACATCACTATTTCAGGCTAACTTTTTTTGTTTGTTTTTAGTTCAGGGTCTACAGGGTCTCATTACACAGATATGACTAATAATGATCCTCCTGTTTTCAGCCTTCCAAGTGCTAGGATTACGGAGGCGTGCTGCCACCTCACCCAGTCTCATTTGCCAGCTCAGCATGCTCTGGGGGCAGGGCCGGCACTGTAGGCTGGGGATTGAACCTGGTTCCTGCACCTGCCTAAGCAGGCACTTTAATCTGCTGAGCTATCTGGTTGGCCCTTAACTTTGTTTTTAAAAAGAGTAAATATACTAATTGAAGAAAAAAAGGAGTTAGAAGAACTAGGTTTACATTTCAAAGCTTTATGCCAGTTTTTAAAAGATTCAGATTTAAATGTCTTAAATTCACCATTTTCATTATTTTTAGATGCCTTTTTTTTGGTGGCTAAGGCTGCTTGAAGGGCAGGTCTGGTAAGGCAGTTAAACGCCTTTTTCTAGAATCTCAAAAGTTATAACTTAAAAGAATGTTTAAAATGTATTAGTTATCATATCCCAGTTAGTATGTGACTATTTTGTACATTCTTTATGTGAAGGGCTTGCTGAGCATTATTATGTTGAACCTTTTCACATCTTATAGTAAGTAGTTATTACTGTTACCACTATTATTATTTTTATTTATTGAGATACAGTTTTTCTGATGTAACTCAGTCTGGCCTCAAACTTAGATAGTCCAAAGGTGGCTTCAAACCCATGATCCTTCTGTGTCAGCCTCCTGAGTGCTGCGATTATGGGCAGGTGCCACTCCATCTAGAACACTGTTACTGTTAATCTTCTTTATGGGTGGGGAGACTGAGGCTTGGGGAGGTTTTGAAGTGCTGACCCAAAATTCCACCCTGCTTTGCCTGACTCCAAAAACCCCACCGTTTCTTTTCTTCCAGACTGCTACTCACATTTAATAAGACATCAGTCCTGAGAGAGATAGGGTCTGGAGGTAGGGTCTTGCTTGGCACTTGAGGCTGGCCTTAAGCTCACCATGTAGCTCAGGCTGGCCTCAAACTCCTCCTGTCTCAGTCTCCTAAGTGCTGGGACTACAGGTATGCACCACCATGCCCAGCCAGCAATGTAAAAATTTGAACAAATTATTTAAATTCTTCAGGAACTCACTTCTAAAATAAGCATGTTGGTTTTGAAGGTTTTGTTAAATTCTTTTTACTTGTAATCTCAGAAGTCCCACCAAAGTATTTCTTTTTTTTTTACATTTAATGTTGGCACATTTCAGATACTTATAATGGTAATATTCATCATAAGTTATTTGTACATGTATATGATGTATCTTGCTTCCTTTTTCCCATCCTTCTAAAAAAAAAAAAATGGAAAGAAAACTTTCATAAATGAGGCAGGGAAGTAGGGTTAAGGGAGAGAAGGGAGTATGGCCAAGAATTAAAGTTACTGTAGTTTATGGTACACAAGGGGGCAGTAGAGTATTTAAAATAGGAATGTTACTATTCGAATGCATTTCTGAAAGGATTCAGAGATATCAAATCCTCTTAAGATTAAAAAGATCAAAGCCAATTAGAATTATGATTTTATCCACTTATAATAGAGTAGAAGCTTTAAGTACTTCTGGTAATATTGGGTATTGTTTGGATTTCCAGGCCTGAGGAGACAGAAAGGTGCCTTTTGCTTTTCCTCTCCTTCTGCAGAAATCAATGCCTGTTAAGATAGGAGCTTGTTGAACTTAGAGGAGAGCTGTTTAAAGCCTCTGTGTATTTTCCATTAAGTGAGCTGTGGTGATGGTATCTTTGTTTAGGATTCAGAACGTTTCTGAGAGAGGAGAAGGTCGGGACATGCTGAGTCAAAGCACACGGGGCCTTCTAGCGCAGGAGGGGAACTTTCTGACTCTGCTTTTTTGACCATGCTTTTTGTTTATGAATTTGGCTGTTTATGTTGAAAATGCCCCTAATAGAATCAGATCAACCTAAAGGAAAAGAAACAAAGCCTCTTTCATTATAAACAGAAGAGAACAATTTTCCCTCGTTTACTAGATAAAGGCGTTTTGGAATATGCAGTCTTGGATGCTGTGCGAATGTGCTAGTGAGAATCTGCTTATAGACACAGATGTAAGCCGCGTTCTGGGAGCACAGAACTACATTCGGGCGAGTACTCTGCGGACCACATGAAAGTGCAAATGTAAGAGTAGTGTTTGTAATCTCTTGTAGGTCTGAGAGCACAGTGGTAGGCCTGATTTTCTGAGCACAGAGGTAGTATGTTCTCATTAGAAACAATTTAGAATATTTCAGTCCAAAGAAGAAGAGATGATTAAATCCACTGGAAATGGGCTGCTTCTGTTCAGAGTTTTATGTGTTATTTCCTCTTCCTAATACTTTCATGCAGGAAGGACTGTCTGGGAAAACCGAGAAAGGTCTTCTGGGCAACAGAAATGAGCTGGTTCAGTTGAACTTAGATCTATATTGAGAAATGGCAAGAACCCTGTTAGGAATATAAGTTTTTGTGTTTCTCACTTTCTTTTGCCCAGATGTTTGGGGAACCTATTGGATCTAAAGGGCTTTAAGTCTGTTGAAGAAGCTAATTGCTGGACTCGCCCCTTGCTTGGCTTTTAGCCTCCTAAAATGCTCTAGAAAAAGTTTGAGCAAAGAATATTTTGTGCAGCATAAACCTTGCTTTCAATAGCTTGTAGTTTCAGTGAATTATTTTGGTTTGAAAATTGCTTGTTTCTTCAGCTACTTAATGTTTTTTGTTTCTGAGGCAGGGACTTGCGCTGTTCAGGCTGGCCTTGAACTCACCATATAGCTTAGGCTGGCCTTGAACTTGCGGCAGTGCTCTTGCCTCAGCAGTGCTGGGATCACAGATGTGTGCCGCCATGCCCAGCCCTTCAGCTACTTACCTTGATTGTGATGGATTCTAATCTTTCTTCTGATCTAGGATATAGTTTTGAATCTTAAGTCAATGACCAGTGTACTTTGAACTGATGTGTGTAATTTTTTATGCACATAAGGTTTTCCAAATATTTGAGCTCCTTAATAGAGTATGCTTGTGTCACTGATGAGCATGGGTTCCTAGCCACATGTAGGGTGGAATTCAGACATGGGCGGACTCCGGAGCCACTTTTGAGCCATTGTTTGTTATCTGCCCTCTTCTTCAGGGGTTACTAAATAGAGGGGTCCAAGATGTTACCAGTGACTGAAGGTTCTTGCTTAGTTCATACAGAAAGCATAGGCTGGCGAAACATAGCTCTTTAGTGTTAACAGTCCTGGGCATGGAATGCCAATGGCCATTGGCTCTTAGGCTAGTGCCTTTCTCACAGCCTGTGGTCAGCAGCTGCTGACAGGCTTCAGGAGCTTTCTGGCCACTGGAGATTGTAGCTTCTGGCAACTCTCCGTTAGTCTGTCTCTTG